CGTGCCCGCGTGGCCTGGTGGCGTTCCGTCCTTCAGCACTACTCTACACGCGCATGTGACACGGCTGCATGCATTCGAATGTGTGACAAAGGCTAAGGTTCCGGCGGCGGCGCTGCGGGGTGTCAGTAGCCTGCTCTTACTTCTGGGCCCGCCCTGAGTCCTGCTTGGTCTCCAGAAGGTGCACGGCCTATGCTACAAGCGGAGGTTCCTAAGTGTTGGCTGGGGGTCGGATGCTCATTCAGACAGTCTTCGCTCGGAGCGCCCGCGGGCTCAGCGGGGCTCTAACCACTTGGTGCCGGGAGAGCGGGCGGCGTGCTGGCTCCGGAGGTCCTGCATCACGGCATTGCCGTCGCCAGACCCGGCGTCAGGCTCTGAAACGGGAGAAACGCACCGGGACCAGCCGTTAGGCCTCCAGGGTCAGGAGTGACACCCTGAGCACGCGCAGGGCTGCGCTGTCTGTGCCCTCCGCTCCCGGTGATCCGCGCCTCCCCCTGAGGGCACCCCGAGGGCACCCTGAGCTGCCTCTCTTCCCACCTGGCACCCGAGACATCATCTCACAGTGCACTGCCCGCGCGTCTTTTCTCCTTCTTTCCTGTGTCACCTCACTCCGCCACCAGACCACCAGCGCCACGGCAAGGGCTGCGTTCTGCCTGTTGCCACACCAGTGCCTGGAGCACAGCAGGTGCTTAATGAGCACGTGCGTGTCAGCAGGGCTGTGAGGACAGCGCTCTCGGCGAGATGCTCGCTCCTGGCCTGGAGGAGGAGGAGGCCCTTGGTGTGGCTCCAGGCGGACGGAAGGGCGAACGTCTATAAAGACAGGCCTCGCTCTCCTCTCCGGGAGAAAAGCGTGTCACGCTTAGAATGCGCTCGGATGGGGGTTTCCTGCTTCTGGGCGGAGCGAGGTGTTGGCAGCAGCAGCCCATGCGCGAAGCGGGAGGCTGGAAGGTTCGTGCAGCTGGAGGCGCCGTGTGTGAGCCACGGACCAGCTCAGATGCTGCCACCCCTCCCGCACCCCAAAAAGTTGCTGTGAATTTCCAGTCTGGGGGGGAGAGCGGGGAGAGAGAGAGAGAGAGAGAGAGAGAGAGAGCCAGGAAGCTCGCTTGCCAAGGGTGTTATACCCAACAGGTAGGAAGTCGAGGCGACGACCTGGTGGAATGAGGGGGGCCCCTGTGCGGGTGACCCTCGGAGCCCACACAGCCTGTGCAGAGGCGACGTGAAGCCCGGACAGGACCCTGGCCCCAAACCCCCTCCTGGGAACCGCGGCGTGGGAACCCCCGAAATTCTCGCGAGGAAACGCACAGCGGCTTGCGGGCTCCGGGGCGCCCAGTCACAGGCGGTTGGGGGACCCCTTCTCGGCCCTGAGCTGCCTGAGGCCCCCGAGCTTACACGCTGGCCAGCTCCTTAGCTAATTCTGCAAGGAAACTCCTTGGCCCAGAACATGCTTCCCTTCGTAAATGTCTCCTGAGAAGCTGGTAGCGGATTTGGGGAGAGTGTGTGACTGTAATGTCACTTCCGTCCTGCAGAACGCGCCCGAGGCGCCTGTCTGTACAGCGGCCACGATGTCCACACTCGCGAGGCTGCGGGCAGGAGCCTGCACGCGCCCTGTGGGGG